TGCTTTGCCTATATTTCTTTCTTTCTTATTCTGCCATCTGTGTCAAACTTACTGCTTGCACAGAAATATGATTGCTGAGAGCAGGAGACAAGAGGCCCGCAAAGTCTGTTTGAGGAAACATTTTTAACTGTTAGAAAGGAGAGGATTTCTCCTCTTTTGGACTTTCTCTGGAGGTCCATGGGTCTTGTGTTTGCTTACATTGTGTAACTATATACACATTTCTGTTTTTAAACATCAGCAATAACATTACAGCATAGCAATAGCATTACGGAAATGATACATACTGGACAGTACATCAGAGCAGCTTAGTAATATTAAATATGCTGAAACTTGAGTTCACATCTTTGTATATTGAGGTCACATACAAATATATCTTTTACTCAAAACTGGTGAGTTCCCCAAAACTCCAAGTATAGCCTTCTTAGCAAGATTTGAACTCACAGAATCACAGAATCACCCAGGTTGGAAGGGACCTCAAGGATCATGTAGTTCCAACCCCCCTGCCTGGCAGGGCCACCAAACATACACATTTAGATCAGGTTGCCCAGGACCCCGTCCAACCTGGCCTTGAACACATCCAAGGACGGGGCATCCACAACCTCCCTGGGCAGCCCATTCCAGGGCCTAACCACTCTCCTAGTAAAGAACTTCCCCCTAACATCCAACCTAAATCTTCCCTCCTTCAACTTGGATCCATTTCCCCTAGTCCTGCTATTATCAGCCCTTTTGAAGAGTTTACTCCCCTCCTGGGTGTAGGTTCCCTTCAGGTATTGATAGGCTGCAATGAGGTCGCCCCGCAGCCTTCTCTTCTCCAGGCTGAACAAGCCCAACTCCCTCAGCCTGTCCTCATAGGGGAGGTGCTCCAGCCCCCTGATCATCTTAGTCGCCCTCCTCTGGACCCTTTCCAAAATCTCTATGTCAATCTCCTGAGAATTCATCTGAATAAAAACGTATCTGTACAGGTTAAACTGTGTTGAACCCCAAGTAGATAACCTCATTTAGAATCCTTTTTTTCTTTTTTTCTAAGTTAGATTATCTCACTAAAAAAATAAAAAAATAAAAAAAATCAAAGTCATTCTTAGCAAGAGTAATCTATTAAATTAGTGTTGCTATACCACAAGTCTGCACACCTAACTAAGTAGCACATTTAAAATGTATACCTTTAATTGATTCTGACGAGTTTTCCTGAGCCTGGGAAAATTCTGCATTTTCTGTGTATTGTTTCTGGAGGCAAGCAGGTCTGACCTTGGCATATGAACAGGGAAAAGCTCACAGCTCCTGCGGGTTGAACTCTTAATACCTACATGAGGCTCAGAGATTAGTAACACCATACTGCTTACACAGTTCACTGGCCTTTGCCCAGCAAACCCACTCTAGCTTCAGGAGACAGCTTTAGTGCTCTGAGTCTGCAGTGTTGCTCTATACAGAGCCAATAAATTCTTGGAAGCAAATAAACTGTTTGCCAAAAACTGCAGTTTATTTTCACCCCCAAACTATTCACAGACTTAAGCAGAATGCAGTCAACATTTGTGTCTTTTTGGCCAAGAAAAATTTAAACTGTGATACAACAAAGAACACAAAAGCAAGACCAGACTTTTACTCAATGACCCAGTGGGTCATGGTGCAACAAACCTACAGGAGACCAAAGCACAACTTTGGCCTGTGTATATAGGAAAAAAATCTATTTTTTCTTAAAAAAAAAAGAATAAAATATATATATTAACTGTGAATTATGAAAAATCCTGGGACAGAATCCTCTTAATTCCCTGTCTTTGGGCCCAAACCACAAAAATGTCAACTGAGGGAGGACCCAGAAGGGGCGTAGCTCCAAATGTGAATGGTCAGAGAGGGAAGCATTGCTCACAGTCCTCTGACAGACTGTGATGGAAATCTTGGACTCTTCCAGACAAACTCAAGTCCAGAATAGTAGATATCCTGTTGTTTAGGTTTTAGGCATTTTAATAGTTACTTGTAAAGAGCCTGAAATCTCTGTTTTGCCTTCACATTTATAGGCAGCATAGGAAAGTTCATGCTTGCTCTTGATTGCCTCAGGTGACAGAGTCCTAAAAAGCTGGAGCATATCTTTGCTAACACACTTCTATTGACATAGTCTGTTTCTTGCCATTATATGACTTCTATTTTTATTTTAACTGCAACTGATGCTAATTGGTTGTAAGCACATAATTTTCCTAAAAAAGGAAAAACCTGCAACACATTGACTCTTCTCCCTCCTTTCCTCCAAAGATGTATATTCACAGCCTGCAGTGTTTAGTTTATATATATTCAAAAAGTCACAGGAGAATTTTGGTAAGCAAGTAGACTGGTTTGCAGCAACAGCATGCGCCTCACGGAGAAGCAGTGGTAAAATGATGCTGTTGAAAAGCAGTTATTCAAAGGAGTTACTTAAAAAATGCAGACAGCACCCAGTAGGGTAATAACATCATGGCTTGATCTGACTTCAGAAAGGAAGCCTGTGATGGCTGTGATCACACAAAAGACACTGGGACCAACATGAATGTAAGCGGGGGTTTCTTTCTTATTCTACTTGGCTTTTCTTGAGGGACTATTTTTTATCATTTTGGAAAGTCAAATTCTTAGCAAAGTGCTTCGAAAAGAAAGTGAAAACCAGTACATAGTTGAAAATCTGGATGGATAGAGGACGTTTATTTCATTCTACCTCCTTATCTATCTGCATTTAACCATTGCATATTAACATATTAATACATGGAAATGCATATTAATAGTTCTCAGCTTATCTGCCCAGAGCAAAAAGCAAATGAATGCAGCATATAAAGAAGCTAGGTGCAGAATTACCAATGTGCTTCATAAGGAAAAACACAGCCCATTCTTACATCTATTTGGTTGTATGAATTTTTTGGTCATATGAAAAGAGAATTTATCTCTTCTAATTTAATATACACCAAGCCATATAGGTGTCTTGTAATAGCCTCTGTTAATTGCATTAAGAAGGTAAGCAAAAAATTGTACAAAACTCTAAATTAGTTGTCATTCTCATGTTTGTAATTTTCCTTTATTTTTTATTTTTTTTATTTTTTTTTTATAAGGAATTTGGGCTTTACTCTGCTTGATTTATTTATTTCTGTTAGTAGACCATATTTCCCTAGTAAATAAAAATGATCCACTCTTGAAATATTTGCTACTTCATTCATATTTTTAATGGTTTGCATAAAACAAATAAAAAAAAAATTTAAAAATGAAGGCAATAATCTCACATGAAAATAAGCTCTCTAAGTCTTTATCTCAAAGATGAAAGGAACACTCAGGTATGGTGATGTAGTGCCATTTCACTGCAGATCAATATACTGATCACAGAAACAATGGTAATTACGGAGTCTGTCTTCTGGGAACTAAATATCCTCAGCTGCCACAGAGCCAAAAGCGTTTGACATCTTCCATCAGGAGGCTTTAAAACAGAGAAAAGCCAACAAAATCAGGGCAAACAGACAAAGTCCAGCCTCTGCTTCAGAGTGAGTCACTAGATTTTGCCTCTTTCCATCTAGGTATCTTTGCCAGAGCTAAAGTGCATCATCCTGTACGCAGTCTCCTTCTCTGATGGTAATCAATTCAGAGACAGTCTTTTTTCTTTTCTTTTCTTTTCTTTTCTTTTCTTTTCTTTTCTTTTCTTTTCTTTTCTTTTCTTTTCTTTTCTTTTCTTTTCTTTTCTTTTCTTTTCTTTTCTTTTCTTTTCTCTTCTCTTCTCTTCTCTTCTCTTCTCTTCTCTTCTCTTCTCTT